GCCCCTTTTTTTGATGGAGCTTCACCAACCCTCGACCTTTCTTTTTCAAGAAGGAACAAGATCTACATTTAATATGGGATAGAATTATCGAGCAATTAATTTTTAATTAGTAAATAATAAATATTAATTATTAAATGTTTTCAATAATAAAATAAAAATAAAAATTTAATAACTTTTTTGTGGTTTATGGTGGTGATAAACATTGCCCATTTTTTTGATGTAGCTTCACCAACCCTCAACCTTTCTTTTTCAAGAAGGAACAAGATCTACATTTAATATGGGATAGAATTATCGAGCAAAAATGTAGAATTTTTCTATTTTTTCTTGCCACATTAAATATGTTATATGTAGTAAATGAGACTAGGGGCCGGGTATGTGAGCAGATTAATATTTTCTGAGGCCGAAGATTCTGAATGGGATTGCTCCCAGAATCCAGTCAAGTCTATTAGTTAGTCAAATGGCGATCATGACCTTATTTATTTATTTATTTTTACAGGATAATGGTTAGAAGTTAGAGATTAGAAGTTAAATTAGTACTTTGTTATTGATAAGATTTGACCACTAGTCAGGTTGCAATTCACCGGCAACCCTTGAACTGAGGTGATCACCAATAAGCCACAACAGGGGAATACGATGATAACACGATCATAACCTTGTTCATTCAGTGCTTCAGGTGGGTTGACGTCGACGTGTTTAAATTGTAGTTCTCAAATATGGTTGTGCTCCTTTTGACCATGATTTATTTTCCTCAACATCCTTTACTTTGTGCTTCAAACAATAAATGTTAAACCTCTAATTAGAAAATTTTCTTGCTATTTTCTGCATGAACAGTCCTTTTTTTTTCCCGGGAAAGTTGTTTTCTTATCATATCTTACCTCCTTAATGGCTTCTCTTTTGATTAGAGTTTATAATTGCAGCTTCAGATTAATCGCCAACGCTTTGAGGATGCAGGAGAGATGGAACATGTTAGCAACAGTGCCCATCAACGAGTAATGTATGCTAGTTTATTTGTCGTTTGCAGAGTACACTAAATGCTTGGGCTGCTTTTAACCACATTCACCCCAAAGCATTGCTGTGTGTTGATGAGATGTATTTCACAACAAGAAGATGCCAAATTACACGTCAGTTTGGGTGGAAAGAATGAATGCGATTTTTAATAAATTTTTTACAATTTTCATTCGTAATGAAAAGAGAACTTGAATGATAAAAATAGAAGTTTTTCTCCAGAAGACTAAGAGGGAGACGACAATGAAGAATTCAACTTAAAAAGAAAACCAAGATTTAATATTTACATTATCAAATTGATTTTACTTTTTTTTTTTTGAACAATTTGTCAAAAGATGAGCTTGAACCTGTTCAAGGAGAGGGGAATGCACCTCATGGTGGCAAGGTAAGAATATTTGATTTCAAAAAATAAAAATTGATTTTACTTATTTTAAAATTTTTATTTTTTGAAATCAAACATTCTTATATTCACCATAAGATATTTGAATTTTTCTTCTTTAATTATGAACTAATTCAGTTATTTAAGGCACTGATATAGTTTAGTTAATTTAATATAAGATTTTGTAATTTTTATATTTTCAAGATTTATTATTTCATATATATAAAGTATGTAGAGTATATAATATTATCTTTAATATTTTTTAATGATTAATCATTGTTAAAATTGATTTAGAGAGTATAATTGAGATTGAGAAGAAATTTTATAAAATAACTTTTAGTAATATATACAATAATTTAAATAAAAGTTAATAATGGATTAATGTGATTCATATAAGTCGAATAGAAAATTTCTACATGAATGGGAGAATTTTATATAATATAATATATTTTTATCTATTTAAATTTATATAAAAATCTAATAAGTTAATAAATGAGGATAGATTTAATATAAATTGAAAAAGTGTGTTAGATGATTAAAAAATTTCCCTTATTTATATAGTAAGAATTTTAAGAATATATTAATTTAAATTTTATATTAATTAATTATAATAAAACCAAATGTACATCACAGGCTCTATATGATACTCTTTCAAAAGTAACAACAAAGCTTTTCAACAGCCTCTTTAGAGTTTAGAAGCCAAACAATAAAAAATAACACAAGCTCACTACATTGAGCTGGCTCTCTGACCTTTTTTTTCAGCAAAAAGGGCAAAAATTTTGAAGTAGTCTGCACTCTCCTAATGTGATAGGTGGTGCAGCTTTTATCCCAGCTGTTGGAGCTAGCCATCTAACTGGTAGCATTTTTTTTTTTTTTTTTTTGTAATCTTCTCATGTTAATTTTTTAATTTAAATATTTAATTATACAGAAAATAAAAATAATATCAGTACAACCTTTAAAAAAATTCTCTTTAAACAGATACACAAAAAATAAAATATTTAATTGAGCACACCATTTAAAAATTAAATATATAAAAATATATATTTATATAAAATAATATTAATTATAA